ACAGCAGGGCTGGCAGGGCCGGCACTTGCATCACGCGCCCTGACTCACCGCCGCCCGGGCGCGGGGAGGGTCGCTCGCTGGAGCTGCCGCGCGGGGTGGCCTCGGCGGGGCCAAGCTCTCCAGCGGCGACGAGCCGCGGGGCCAAGCCCTGCCTCGGTCACCCAGCGCTTGTGCCAGCGGTCGCCAGCTGCGGCTTGGGGTGGCCTCCGGGCACGGTTGCTCTGGCTGGGAGCCCAAGTTGGCCTGGCAGGGAAGGCGGTGGCCTCACAGGGCGAGAGGAGACCTATGGCGCTGCCTGGTGTATCAGCGCCCGGGCCCTGGCCGTGCCAAATTGGCCCCTCCGCCCTCTGAGGGCCAGCTGTGCAGGGGTTTGGGAATAATTTGGACAAGTGGTTTTTCATTTTATAAAGGGTGTATTTTACTCTTTCAGGAGCGTTTTGGTGCCCTTTGCGTCAATATTTGTTCTTTAGTTTCAACATCTTTAAGTGCACTAAAACCCTCCCTGTTAAATATTCTCCAGAAACGCAACCCTGGTCAGGACAGGAAATATTTTAGCGGCCTCGGTGGTCACCTTTTTACTCTGTGGCACTTCCCTGAAACCACTTGGAAAGACACCTACCAATTGTTTATGATGCAATTTTATTTCAAAGCCATATTGGAATTTTGTTTTCAAAACAGCCAAGGTGAGCTGGCTGAGGAGTGGACAAAGGAGGGAGTGAGCGGTATTCCACAAGGCCAATGGTTAATAGTCAACTGTCCACATGCTGGGACTAGTTAAGGTATTTTGCCCACCTAACGGCACGATTTACTGACCAGATTGCTTTTCTCTTTGCATTCAAAGTTAAAGAGCTCCACTAATCTCATCAAAGCAGTCGGAAGATGTAGCTTTTGACTGAATGAGGATTAATGATACAGCAAAGAAACATCTCTTCCTAAGATTCCTTCCATACAATATCAGTTGTATCTCCATGGCCCAAATTGGAAAGAACCAAGGTGAATTTGGATCATTTTGCTGCAACCAGACCCGAAATAAGAAGTGGGGAAGAGGAAGGTCGCCTCCAGAGAAATAAGTTGACTGTCCTTAGAACAGCCCTTTACATAGGTCACTGGGGCCACTGCTGAGCCCTCTGAGAAGACACCTGTGGCTTCCTTCAGCGTCCTGTAACTTTTTGCACTTCTGCCTGTCTGGTTTCTGCTTCCACTTTCCACCTCCCTTTCCACTCCTGCACCCGTCTGAGTCCCAGCTGTCCCTGGGGTTCCAATGATGCATTTAACTCCTTACTGCTCTGAGTTAGGAATGCCTGTTTCTGGCCAGCAAGCTAAGTAGGAGATCTTCTGGTTGTGCCAGTTTTGTCAAAGGATGTATGATTCCAGACAACTCAAATAAGGTCTGCTCCAGAGCCCCTCCTGCAGGAACCATGTATTTGGCCATATATGTGGTACCTCTCTATGTACCCTGGGTGGGAAGGGACTTTAGGACACCTCTCTATCCCCCATCCAGTGCTTGGATCCCCTCTTTGACATTCCACAAGAGAGGTCTTCCAGTTTCTGCTCCAATTCCTCCAGTGATGAAGGGCTCCGGGCTTAGCCCAGTTGCCTTCGGACAGAAAAGTTCTTCTGATACCCCCTGGCTTTTCAACCATTTCTCCTAGAACACATTCTGTTAGTCCTTGCAACACACTGTGTGTTGAATAAATGTAGGGGATTTCAACACATTTTTATGGTGATTGTTTTTGTGGCAACATGTTTTCACTTATTTTCTAGGTATTTAAAAGCTGATGTTACCATTCCTCCCCCTCCTCTTCCTTTTTCTGTCTGTCTGTCTTTCTGTATCTCTCTTCTCCCCCTTCCCCTCCTTCCCTCCCTCCCTCTTTTAATGATAAATTATGTAACTTGGTGTTCCAGATACCAGCAAAGAAAAAGTTTATTTTGGCGTTCTCTCTCAGATTGCTTCATGATTACAAATACGTGAATTCAGGTCAACTGATGTTTTTAAACTTCAGTGCTTTGAAATTTATCCTCATTAAAATAACTTTTTAAATATACATATACATAGGATTAGGATGTTTAAAGTTTGTTTTTCTTTGTACCTTTTTGTATTTTTCAAATTTTCAACAGTGAAAATATTTAATCAGAAAATGAAACAAATATTTTCTTCACAGTTTTCTTTCTTTTTTTTGTTATAAAACATAATCATTTAATGATCATCTATGAACTTGTTATCCAACCCAAGAACTAAAACATTTCTTTATTTCTTGCTTTTTTTCTATAAGTAAAATTATGTTTGAAATAACATCTTATGGATTGCATGTAAAGTACACAAAAGTTCATTTCCTTGCTATACATCATGGAAAGACAGACCATGTTTCATTCATCTTGGTATCCATTCCCTCTCTCCCAACTTCCCCACCAGATGTATCAAGGGATTTGCACATAGTCATTCTCGATCAATAAATATTGATTTAACTTCTTTTACTGAAATTAATCAGTTTATGTAAGCTTCATAAAACATTTATTTTAAAAGACCTGGCCAGAGGTCACCCTTTCTAATATATAATTTCTCAGGATTTAGCACTTTTAGCAGAGGTAGTTACTTGTCCTTTCAGCAAAAAATTTGCACTTCCCATTCATAATGTAGCGTTGAGGACGGTATCTGCCAGCCCCTGCCTCCCCTGCCCCAAAGCTCTTCCCAAAGTTTTATAAAGCCATAAACTGAAGTTCAAAGTTCCGGTCAATGGAATGTGCTATATGTCAGACCCAGACAGGGCTCACAAAAGCTGCCTGTTGAATCTTTCATGTGCCCTTTTTTCATCTCTCATCTGCTGCTGGTGGAGCCTCCATCAGCCTGGGTCCCCACTAGTGACTGACTTTATGTAAATGAGAAATAAAATTCCATTGTGTTAAACTACTGAGATTTGGGGGATTACCAGTAACAGAAGTTTTTACTCTAACACTGACAACAACAAACAAGTGACTAACTCCTCAAAAATATTGAACAATGTTTTGCAATAATTGAGAGAAGAGCTAAGGCAAGATATTTATGTTTTTACCCTCACAAAAATTAAGCATTTCCAACCAGCTCCATTTTATACAAAGTAATATTTACATCTACATCCCCACAAAGAGGCTAAGAAAAATGAAAAACAAAGAAATTGGGCAGCATTTATCTTCTGACTGCATTTAAAAGATGCCAAAATAATTGGCTGAGGAATGATACGTTTAGTTAGCCAGCCAATGTTTTTAGGTACAAAGAGTCAAACTAATTTTTTCTATAAGGTTTTTTCAATGGTCATAAAGACATCAGTCAATCTCATCAATTTAGATGGAAGTAATATAGGTCCCACCAACTGAATTGCCTCTGAGCTACCTGGTCATACCTATCAGTTAGGCACAGGCAGAGAAGTCTGGAGAGCACAGGTGCAGATCAAGAGCCCTTTACGGTTGGCTCTCAGGATGTGCTGGAAGTCCCTGAATATAGGGGTGACTTTCAGAGATGGATAATTGTAGGAACAGAGACTCTGACTAGGGTGGAGCTGAAGAGCAGGTTCAGTATAATGATCTGAAATGCACTAAGTGATGGATTTTGGACATGGCCTGCGCCATTGTGCACACAATAAGCTCCAGCACAAAATAGCCACTGGCCTTGTCTTCCACTCCAGCACCAAGCCCCTTCCCCTTCCTTTTAGAGAAGCCTCCTGACATAGAAACAACTTTCTGGCTTCTACATTGGCACAGTTCTCCACCCAGTTACATCAACCTAAGGTCCCTCCCCCCGTACATTTCTCACCCAACAGCTAATATAAACTCTCACAGTCCCATTGTTGCAGCTGTCCCGCATTTTCAGGGCAGCCCCGGGCTGTCCTCCAGTTTGAGTACAGCCCGGTAGGTTTCTTTCTTTAATGAAGCTTGAACAGTACTGGCATCTTGGCTCACTTTCTTTCACTATGTTAACCCAGGATAATGTTGTTAATTCTGTATTGGTGCTTCAACTTCATGTGCATGTTTTTGGGCTATTATATAAGCATAATTTCCTGAAGGAATTGTTAACTGCAGTGGAAAATTTAGCAACGATGGAAAGAAATATCGCATGAGCTCATTTATATAGAATACTACTGAGATATGTCACCTTGTTAAACAGAAAGTTTAAGGGAGTTAAACTATTCTTTGGTACATCTGTAGGTTTTTTAAAAGATTGCCTGGAATTTTTATTTAACTCATGTGTTAGTATTTAATATTTTATGATATTTATCTAGATTTTAAATTTCTTAAAGAAAGGGTCTTTATATATTCCTCTATGGCAGTTGGTATGATGTCTTGTTCATCTCATAGGTGTGCTTTTAATTTAATCATATTTAGACTAGTAGTTTTAGGGTAGGTTACTATCACTTACTAGCTGTGTGAGTTTGGGCAAGTTATTTAACTTCTCTTTGCTTCAATATCTCACCTGTAAAAGATGATAATCGTACCTACCTCATAAGATTATTTTAAAAATTAAATGAGATAATATGCATAACAATCTGCAGAGAGTGTCTGGCACAGAGTATATATTATATATGTAAAATATTCTTATTATCATTACCATGTGGCTTATATTTCTAAATAAAAAATTTATGTAAACAGAATGGAGTTTTCACACTGAGTTTCAAAGATGTTTTATCTAAATAAATTGAATGTCAGTGTCTATAGCATCTAAGATCTGTACTTTTTTCCTCATTCTCCCCACCAGTTAATACTCTATTAAAAACAAACAAACAAAGGGCCAAGCCTGTGGCACACTCGGGAGAGTGCGGCGCTGGGAGCCAGCGCTCCCGCCGCGGGTTCAGATCCTATATAGGGATGGCCGGGGCGCTCACTGGCTGAGCGCGGTGCGGCCGGTCTCAAAAAAAAAAAAAAAAGGACAAAAAAATAAGTAAGTAAAAACAAACAAGAAAAACCCAATCTATGCTTTAAATGAACTAGAAGTGCTGACATAAAAATTAAACAGTGAAGCTTAATAAAGTCAACAGTTATTTTGTAATGTTAAAAGTTCATTTAAGTGATTCGTTTGGTAATTTTTTATTTTAAAATATGACATTTTCTTAAATTGATTTTGTTTTTTCCACGACTAGGAGTGAATGGCCAGTAAGAGACACCGTAGGACCAACCGATAAGAGACATCTTGCCATCAGGGGCAGAAGCTCTGCAGAGGACCACCCAAGGAGGAGAGAAGTGGGAGTCATGGGACTCGGTCAAGGATGGGAGAGAAAGAAAAAGACATGTGTGTGTGTGCTGACAGGCAGGCTTCTAATATGTCCCATGGAAAATCTTTCCTTGATAAAAATGTCATTTGTCTTATTTCAGGTGGCTATAACGATGTACCCCAGACTGGGGGGCCAACAACAGAAATTTATTTCTCACAGTT